CTCTACGTTAAATCAATGGTGTGTAGCGGTTCACGCACAGGCAACGCGTGCAAGGCACAGGCTACACTTCAACCTGGTAATCCTATAGGTCGAGTCACGAGTCCCGTTCCTATTAGAATTCTGTCAGGTAGATCGACCACCATTCTTAGCAGCAAAGAATTTGTCCATGAAGAAGTATTGATTAATCCTCTTGTAGCGTAGCATTCGATCATTTGTTCCATAGTTGCGGGCCATCTTTGGGTTGTCAGTATGGCGTCGCTTTTGTGTGGTTGCTTGCAAGGTTCGTTCCGCCGTCGGGAGATCTAATTTCCATATTTTTGCAAGGTGAGCAGCTTGGACTCCCTTTGACGGTTTGGCGTACGTTACAGAGGCCATTACTTCATCAAGATCAACTTGCTTCCTGTCAGCCATAGCTGCAATCTTGGTGAATAAATCATCTCCACTCAACATCTCTTGGAAGTCCAGTTCACCGTCCATGTCTTTGAACAGAAAATCAGTGTCATCTTCATGGGCGTGTGTTGACCCCAATGACGTCATCATAGACAAAACTTCACGACAAGTGGAGAGACGGTGACTCAATGTGCGCTCACAGAAAATGCTTGAGATAGAGGCAACGTTGACATTGAAGGGTTGTCCCAATGGGGCTTCATCAGCATCATCCTCCTCTAGAACGGACTCATTGACAAGAGTCTGTTCTTCCATTCTCATATTCGATATTGCACACACAGTCATCGTGGGATCATCTTCAATATCTGAAATCAGAAGCTTGGAACGGTTCCGAGCATCGGCGACTTCACCATCATAGTTGACAAGATGATCTTCAGTCTGTGCATAGGAAGATTTGTGCGGATCGAACTCCTCTGGTGTCATCATGTAGACATGATTAGGATCAGCATCATTGAGCTGTTCAACCGTAGGTTTTCTCGTGACAAAGTAGGAGAAGGTACCATGCAGCTTCATTGGGATGCGTAGATGCTCGTCAAACTTGATTGCATGGTCATCAGAAGAGGGATCGGCCAAATGGATCTTTGGCGTATTGTTTACTTGGATTCCTTTTTCTCGCAGAATAAATGGAGGAATCAGGTTGTGGGTCATATAAGGTACATGTAGAGCATTTGGGACCACAAGTATATATTCCTGCAGTAGGGCAGCATCAATGATTGGGATACTCTTTGCAGCATATTCAGGATTGTAGGGATTGACAGAAGCAGTCCGTCCAGTATCACTCAGAACAAAACAATTGGATCCAACAACAATCATATTGGCATGGGAGTCAAGTTCCGATCTAGAATCCATTGACTGCTCAACATTGGTAGCCTCAATTCGTAGTGCAGCAGCGATTGTGGCAAAGAATGACGGGGACACTGGAATGGTTATGTTATCCATCATCTTCCAGGGTGGGTTCGGCTCCAGAGCCCAATGCATTACAGAAATAACTTTGGGCTCTACCGGGACCAGTCAATCTTTCTTCCCAAGAATCTTGGCAAGAACAATAGCATTGACATCAGCAGATGCAGAAGGAGCAGGCGCCATTCCAGAGGCATTGACTGTTTTGAGTGCACTGACACGAGTATCATGGAGACCTTTCTTCTTGTCTTCCTTGTCAGTGTACTGCTTGACATGTCGTTTCAGCTCCTTTTCAAAAGCAGCAGCCGATATTTTTCCTTCTTTCTTTGGAGACGAGTTTCCACCATGAGCTTTAGCCTTTGCAGCTCCATCTCTTGCCGTTGCAGCCTTCCCTTCAGGTGTCAAACGCCAAGCTTTCAGCTCGGCTCTTTGCTCTGCAGGGAGCTTATCAAACTCCTTTTTCTTGTAGAAACGGAGATGAACGCCAGTCTTTCCAATTCCAGATCGCAGAGACGCAATCTCAATGGTTTGGTTGGCTGATTCATCAATGGTAACAGTAGCATCTGAGATTTGTGCATGACTGCGCTTGTTCTTCTTGGCAACCGGGTCGGCAAGTTGGAGCAATCGTGCACATTCTTCAAAAGAATATCTTGGTCCATTGGGATCTTCGTTGCCCTCAATGTTGGCAATAGTTGCATGGAGCCCAGGATCAGTTGTGTGGAGCGCTTCGAAGGAAGTATCCAATCCTTGTATGCTCATTTGGGATCTGGTATTCCACATGCTGAGAGGCAGTGGTAGGGAGCGCCTGATGGGCATTGCGGTGTCCTCTGATGAATCGTTCCAAGGGGAAAGTTCCGTTTCCCTTCCACTTTTGAACAGTAATGAAATCAGTGTTCTTTTCAATTTCTTTGGACCACTTCTCTTTACCGAGGTATTGAGCAACAATGGCAAAGAAGGCACCTCTTCCATCTCTTGTCTGCTCAAATGGGGTCAGAGACAAAGCATAAGTCGTCCCGCGTAGCGCTTCTTCCAGCTTGGCAAATACTTGAGCATTATCCTGGTGAAACCTAGGGTGAGTATGGGATGCTCTAGCAGTGAATTCGGCAACAAGCGATCCATGTTCAATAGAATATGGTCGATCCGGAGCAAGCGGTGGTTCAGCTGGCACATCAGCGTCTTCTCTCAAGACATATCCAAGAGGAAAACCTCTCACACCATAGCTCTCATGGATGACAGATCTAAAGGCAGCAAGCCATTTCATGATGGGCAAAGCTTTGC